CTCCTGCCAGCCATCCTGCTGGCCACTGCTCCCACCAGCCATCTGCCAGATGCTCACTCCTGTCAGCCACCTGCCACTCCTGCTGCTGTTCCCACTGGCTGTGTGCCAGCCACCCCATTGGCCCGGTGGACAAGGCTTTCTCTTCCAGACACTGTGAAGTCAATTGAGGGGAAGGGCAGAGCTATGAACCACCAGGCTACATTCTCCCCAAACGTGAGCTGTAAGACTGGTTGAACCTGTTTCTCCCCTCCCTCCGCCCTGTTCTAATGATAGAATTAAAACAGATTCCATAAGGAGTCTCTCTGCTATTTTAAAATGTTATTCCAGTGGATGCTGGAATCTTTTGGTTAGCCTGTGTTGTGGGCCAAAAGCTGAAATCACAGAGGGTATGTCTACACTACCCCGCTAGTTCGAACTAGCGGGGTAGTGTAGACATACCCTCTGTGATTTCAGCTTTTGGCCCACAACACAGGCTAACCAAAAGATTCCAGCATCCACTGGAATAACATTTTAAAATAGCAGAGAGACTCCTTATGGAATCTGTTTTAATTCTATCATTAGAACAGGGCGGAGGGAGGGGAGAAACAGGTTCAACCAGTCTTACAGCTCACGTTTGGGGAGAATGTAGCCTGGTGGTTCATAGCTCTGCCCTTCCCCTCAATTGACTTCACAGTGTCTGGAAGAGAAAGCCTTGTCCACCTGAGATTCTTTACAATGACAATGTCTCTCCTTTGACTGAGTTAAACACAGTTTGCTTTTTTACATTCCCAATTACTGCAAGCATTGGTGGTCATATTTTACAGTTCCTACATTTAGGGTTAACATGGTCTGTGACTCCTCAACAGCCAAATTGGTTACAATAGGCAAAATAACATTCTGACAATTAACCATCAGGCCTATAGCAACCTGCCTGAACTATATTTACATAACCACATCCAGGATTTCTTTCCAATTACAGCATGAACTGTATTTACATAACACCTGAATACCTTGCAGGGCTAAAGAACTGAGTGAGAATAACCACACCCAGGATTCCTTTCCCATTGATTCAGACTCTGCTTACATGCTGTTTGGCTTCCTCCAGGCCCATTGTGCTTAGACTACTTACTTGGTGGCCCAAGTGTGCTCCTCAGCCCAGTAGCATCCATGGTAATTGTTAGTGATGCTGGCAGTCGTTGGAAGGGGACCTCTATGCATACATTGTCGTGCAAGATCCACCATGTGAGTGAGGTCTTTATCTTGCCTGGCATAGTAAGACGTTTGTTTATATGATGGATATGCAGCCTATATACTGTGCGTAACCATGCCTGGAGGAGCTGCATGTGGAGGTGGGCACATGGTAACACAAACGTGGCTGCCACCATATGTCCTAGAAGTTGTAGGCAGTGTCAGGCTGTTATTTAAAATAAGCTATTTATTATTTCCTTACGTTATATCTGCTTTCTCAGATTCTTCAAGCATGTGTTCAATGAAAGGGTTTTCTGGCTGGCTCAACACTTGGCAGGCTTGCAAATACTGTTTATGGAGACTTAGGTGTGTTGACATGACAGCTTGAAAATAAAAACAATTTAGAAGACAGTTTTATACATTCATAATATGCCCATCATAAAGAATCTGGGGCCCCCTACAAAATTGAGAGACAGCAATGAGTCAAAACATACTATGGATTTCTAGTGTGCAGTATAAGTTTCTATATGGATAGTTAATACATGGCAAACTAGAGCACTGTAGATTTACACTATTTCCTGTGTACTAACTCTCCATACAAACAAGTTTAGCGTGATCTTTAGTATTAATGCCAAGTAAGAGTGTGTTGCAATAATGAGATAGGGAGGATCCATACACATGCATCTCTGTGATGAGGCCATAACAGAGGGGAATACTGCAACCACAGCCATTTCTAGATGGAAAAAAAATGCATTACAGGCAACTTCAAGCTGCGAATTAGTATTTTTGGCTCCTTACATCAGTGCTTTGATATTCACCAGGAGTGCTTTGTGACAATAAACAGCAGTGCAACGTACACAAGTATTGCATCGTGCAACTCACTCTCACCCAGCACAGTGTCTTTTGAGAAATTCTGGATATGCCTGGTGGAGGCATAAGATGGACAGGGTGATTGAGAGCAAGGGGTCCAGTTCCTATCATGCAACTTTCTCTATCCCATAATGTCATGCATTTTGGTGCCCTTTTAAAAAAAATCCTACAAAACTCCACAGTATTTCTTACTGGCTCCCATCTCTGAACCTTGGTGCCCATAAAGCTCAGAGATATTACACATTGCAAACACAATGATTCTCTAACATTTGAAGAGCTTCAAGGACTGCAGCAACAGAGGATGTAAAAATGTATTGAAGGACAAATTATTGAGGGATATAGCAAGAACCAAATTCGTGTCCTTAGAAGAGTTCATGGAACAGCTGCAGATGGAGCACCACCTCTGAGCCCAAGAAACAAGCAGTGAATGGTGAGAGGAGGAGGTTACTTACTTTTGGTGGTAACTGAAGTTCTTCAAGATGGGCATCCCTACGGGTGCTCAACAGCAGGTGTCAGTGCCACAGAGTGGATTCTTCTTAGTGCAACGGGGCCGAGCATGTGCAGCATGCAAGGCACATGGGCGCCTCTCAGCACCACTGCAAATGCATGCCCACCCTCCCCTCTGTTCCTTCTCTATCCAGAGCCCAGCCTGGTGGAAAAAAATTGGGTCCAAAGCAGAGGAGAGGAAGGCGGGAGAGTGGGGGGAAAGGAAGTTACTCACCTTGGTGCAGCAAAAGCAGTTCTTTGAGATGTGTGGAATTGCTTAAGGTGATGGGATTGCTTAAAGGACTGCAGGTAGAGGGGCTTCCTCCGGTGGTATGTTATGGGAAGCAGCCCAATGTACAAAACAAGACCATTTGTTACTGTATGTCTTTCTTATTGCAGGGGCCCTGCTGTGGAGGAGCACCTCCTGTACCTGGTCTGAGCACTATAGTTTTATGCCTGAGAACCATCAAGGTGCCACGCCTAGAGGTGAAGCATAAGAAATTGTGGATAGAATCATAGAATCCTACAATACTAGTACTGGAAGGGACCTCAAGAGGTCATCGAGTCCCCTACCCTCGTGGCAGGACCAAGTACTGTCTAAACCATCCCTGATAGACATTTATCTAACCTACTCTTAAATATCTCCAGAGATGGAGATTCCACAACTTCCCTGCGCAATTTATTCTAGTGTTTAACCACCCTGACAGTTAGGAACTTTCTCCTAATGTCCAACCTAAATCTCCCTTGCTGCAGTTTAAGTCCATTGCTTCTTGTTCTATCCACAGAGGCTAAGATGAACAAGATTTCTCCCTCCTCCTTATGACACCCTTTTAGATATCTGAAAACTGCTATCATGTCCCCCCTCAATCTTCTCTTTTCTAAACTAAACAAACCCAATTCTTTCAGTCTTCCTTCATAGGTCATGTTCTCTAGACCTTTAATCATTCCTGTTGTTCTTCTCTGGCCCATCTCCAATTTCCCAACATCCTCCTTGAAATGTGGTGCCCAGAACTGGACACAATACTACAACTGAGGCCTAACCAGCGCAGAGTAGAGCAGAAGAATGATTTCTCATGTCTTGTGCACAATACACCTCTTAATGCATCCCAGAATCATGTTTGCCCTTTTTGCAACAGCATCATACTATTGACCCATATTTAGCTTGTGGTCCACTATAACCCCTAGATCCCTTTCTGCCGTACTCCTTCCTAGACAGTTGCTTCCTATTCTGTATGTGTGAAACTGATTGTCCCTTCCTAAGTGGAGCACTTTGCATTTGTCTTTATTAAACTTCATCCTATTTACCTCAGACCATTTCTCCAATTTGTCCAGCTCTTTTTCAATTATGACCTTATCCTGCAGATTAGTTGCAACCCCTCCCAGCTTGGTATCATCTGCAAACTTAATAAGCATACTTTCTTTGCCAATATCTGAATCATTGATGAAGATATTGAACAGAGCCGGTCCCAAAACAGACCCCTGCAGAACCCCACTTGTTATGCCTTTCCAGCAGGATTGAGAACCATTAATAACTACTCTCTGAGTACAGTTATCCAGCCAATTATGCACCCACTTTATAGTAGCCCCATCTAAGTTGTATTTGCCTAGTTTATTGATAAGAATATCATGCAAGACCGTATCAAATGCCTTACTAAAGTCTAGGTATACCACATCCACCACTTCTTCCTTATCCACAAGACTCGTTATCCTATCAAAGAAAGCTATCAGATTGGTTTGACATGATTTGTTCTTTAGAAATCCATGCTGGCTGTTCCCTATCACCTTATCACCTTCCAAGTGTTTGCAGATGATTTCCTTAATTACTTGCTTCTTTATCTTTCCTCGCACAGAAGTTAAACTAACTGGTCTGTAGTTTCCTGGGTTGTTCTTATTTCCCTTTTTATAGATGGGCACTATATTTGCCCTTTTCCAGACTTCTGTAATCTCTCCTGTCTCCTGTGATTTTCCAAAGATGATAGCTAGAGGCTTAGATAACTCTCTATCAGCTCCTTTACTATTCTAGGATGCATTTCATCAGGCCCTGGTGACTTGCAGGCATCTAACTTTTCTAAGTGATGTTTAACTTTTTTTTAAATTTTATCTTCTAAACCTACTCCCTTCCCCCAGCATTCACTATGTTAGGCATTCCTTCATCAGACTTCTCGGTGAAGACCGAAACAAAGAAGCATCTCTGCCATTTCCAAGTTTCCTGTTACTGTTTCTCTCTCCTCACTGAGCAGTGGGCCTACCCTGTCCTTGGTCTTCCTCTTGCTTCTAATGTATTTATAAAAAGTCTTCTTGTTTCCCTTTATTCCTGTAGCTAGTTTGAGCACATTTTGTGCCTTTGCCTTTCTAGTCTTGCTCCTGCATTCCTGTGTTATTTGCCCATATTCATCCTTTGTAATTTGTCCTAATTTCCATTTTTTAGATGACTCCTTTTTTATTTTTAGATCATGTAAGATCTCATGGTTAAACCAAGCTGGTCTTTTGCCATATTCTATATCTTTCCTACGCAGCAGAATAGCTTGCTTTTGGGCCCTTAACAATGTCCCTTTGAAAAACTGCCAACTCTCTTCACTTGTTTTCCCCTCAGTCTTGATTCCCATGGGACCTTACTTATCAGTTTTCTGAGCTTACCAAAATCCGCCTTCCTGAAATCCATTGTCCATTGCGGGGCTTTGGTTCCCAGTTGTAATAATATGCTCAGATTGTGATTCGACAATATAAGGTTATTCTGTTCAGGTAAGGAAACCACGGTTGTTGAGGCCAACAGGGGGCTATGAGGATGACCCTTGCTTTGTCCCTCTGTATTTTGATGAGTACTCTGTTGAGGCGGGTAAACGGAGGGATGACTGTATAGAGTAGGTGATGATACCATTTGAGGATAAGAGCGTCTCCAAGTAAGTCCTTCCCGATGTCTGCCCTGGAGCAATAAAGGGGTCACTTTTTGTTCGTCCTGGGGGCAAATAGGTCTATGTGAGGGTGATGTGAGGTAGAAAGTGTTGGCATGCGAGCTGAACGGCCCTGAGCTCAAGGACATTGATGTGTAGCGTCCTCTCTGCCACAGTCCATCAGCCCAGGGTTGTAAAATCTTTCATGTGTGCTCCCCAGCCCATGAGGGAAACGTCCGTGGTGATGACCACTGTGGGTTCCAGAGTTTGAAAGGGTATGCCCTTGCATAAACTGTCTGGTTTTGTCCACTACAATAATGCACTTTTGAGTGCATTGGGAATTGACAGTGTTTTGGTTAGGGAGTGTAGGTTGGCCTTGCAATTTGATATGAACCTTCCTTAGATGAACCTCATGACTAGACGTGCGTTCAGAACCATAGGTTGTGCAGGACGCCATGTGTCCCAGCAGTATAAACAGTTGTGCACTGTGATCAGTGGCATTATGCAGAGCAATTGGACTAACTCACATATCTTTAGGAATCTGTCGAGAGGCAGAATAGCGAGTTGAGGTGCGCCCTAATAAACTGTATTGACTGAATTGGAGTCAGAACTGATTTCTTCTCCTTGATCAGTAGTCCCAATGATTGGAAGCACTGTTGTACTGGATGGCAACAATAGAAGTAGTCTCGAGTTCTTGCCTTGATACGGCAATTGTCATGGTACAGATATATGGGAACGTCCTGTTTTCTGAGGTGGGCTGTAACCACTTAGAGAAAACCCTTGGTGCCATGGAAAGTCTGAAGGGCAGAACCGTGTATTGGTAGTGCTGCGTATCTAGAGTGAAATAGAAAAACCGTCTGTGAGCAGGACGGACAGCTACTAGGGATGTTAAGAACTAGTCGACTATCCAATAAGCAAATGGCAGCAAAGTGGTAGAGGGAGAGAGGGAATATTTCAAAGGGGCAGCACTGCACAGCTGATCCCAGGATCAGCTGTATGGCACTGCCCCTTTTGAAATGCCGCTGCGGCATTTGCATGGAGCCCAAGGTCAGCTGGGGACTCCATTTCACTCTAGGAACACAGCACTACCAATACACGGTTCTGCCCTTTGGAAGTCCCCAGCTGATCCTGGGTTA